AGTGTTTATAAAATTTCAGATCCTTCAGTGAATACTTCAGTGCTAAGGCTAGGAGATAATGTCAGGAGAGGTAATAACCTAGGAAACAATCAATTGTGGTTTACCAACTTGATATTTCCTCCAGGAAGTGTGCATAAAATCTCATGATTTAATTTTTCTTTATCCTTCTTTTTCTTTCATTATTTGTTCCATGTTTAAATTTTGCCCTTTAGAAGTGATGATTTCCATGTGGTAATTTGATTAAGGAGAAATTGTGAGAAAAAAATTAGTTTTCAGTTCTGTATGTTGGAAGAGGGTTTGATTAGATAAATACCCTCCTGTATTTAAAGAGCAGTGTATGAAATTTAAATGACAAAGTCATCTCCAGTTGGCTGTTTAGAGCAGAATGTTTTTAGTTACAATGAATTATTTAGAGTTGTGGTAATTATGAGAGTGATTGTTAAAACAGAGGACAAGGTAAATGCTTGCTATGTAGACTTGATTTTTAAAATTATAGATAAATTGGTACATTAATTTATGGGGCCATAAAGGAGTACATGGAAATATCCTTTTCAACAAATATTTATTGAATCTGTATTATGCTTGGAGTTGCGCTAACACTGGGGAGACCCATGGTAAACAGAACTGTATGTGGTGCATAATTGACCGTTTGTGTGTTTGTCCTAACATACTGGCATCTCTTTTTTATAGTCTTTCCAGTTGTTTACTGGTAGTGTAGGGTAAACATTATTTTACTAAATTTAAACAAGGAAACATTGTGTGTTTACTGATTTTTTTTTTTTTTTTTTTTTTAAAGAGGTAGGGTCTTGCTGTTTGTTGTTCAGGTTGGAATCCCATGGCATGATCATAGCTTACTGTGACCTTGAACTCTTGGGCTCAAGCAATCCTTGTGTCTTAGCCTCCTAAGTAGCTGGGACTACAGGCATGCGCCACCATGTCCAGTTAATTTTAAAATTTTTTATGGAGATGGGGTCTTATTGTGTTGTGCAAGCTGTTCTTAAACTTCTGGTCTCAAGTGATCCTCCTGCCTTGGCCTCCCAAAGAGCTGAGATTACAGGCATGAGCTACCACACCCAGCCTGGATTTCTGTACTTCAACAAAGCAGCCAGTTTTAGTGAAATATGGAATAATCTGTGCAAAGCCTACTTAATGAGTTTTATACAGGGTGGTATTACAGGGTTTACAACTGGATTTGGATCCCTGCTGTGCTACTTAACTATCCTGAATTTTTTTTTTTTTTTTGAGACAGAGGCTCACTATGTCCCCCTTGGTAGAGTGCTGTGG